TTGATTGTCTTGTTTTCAATAGCTATTTGGGTAAAACGGTTTATTTGGCAAAACAATATTCATTTCCTATATAGTTTATATTTAACCAGTGTTTTGTTGTAACATTTGCAGAAAAAACTCACATAAATATAAATTCATATGAAAATAACTTCAGTGTATTTAAAATTACAGAAAAAAATAACTATGTATCAGATAAGTTGGAATCAGGGTTAATATGGTGTTTGCATTTTTAATGTACTTTTTATTTCTATACTTAAGTTGGTGGATTGTAAAATGTTTAATTTCAGTTATGTTTTCATTAACTTTTTTTTATTTACTGCTGTTTGTGAAATAAAGTGAGCAATGTACACTAAAGTTTCCTGTTCCAAGAAATAAAATATCACTAACATGATGAATGTAAACTTTGTAAAGAGACATTTAAAATAGAGCATTCAATAGTGTCAAATAATGATGAAATTAAAAAAGTATAACATTAAAAACATACATAGCTCTACAACACTAATTTAAGTAGGAGGATGTGGATGTAAAAGTTGAATTGGAAAGAAATTTAAATATAACAGACGAGTTTTCATATTAAGGCAAAATTTAAAGCAGGAATTTAACTAGCAAAGTGGAAAATAAAAAGAAGATATTTCAATGTAGCCGTTATTATTTAGTAATTCATGTAAATTTTACTGTAGGGGCTTTGGAATTGATTAAGAATTTTACACGAATATTTTGGGATTCTTCAAGGTTACTTCATTTCATAAAAGATTTTCAAAAAGGGATTTAACAGATTTCTGGAACTGATGATCATGTAGATCCATTACTCTATATTAGCCATATGTCTGTATGATATATCAGATGGAAAACTGATATATTTGTTAAGAATTCTGCTCCATATTGACAATATGGAGAGTTGCCTACTTAGTTAGGCTGATTTTTTTCCATAATGCTCAGTTGGTATTACAGGGCCCAAAGCATGCCAAGAATATATTCACCACACCATTACATCATCGGCACTCTGAACCGTTGATAAAAGGCAGGACTGAGTCATACTTTCATGTTGTTGTATCTGTTATCAGTAACTCCCTGCAGGCAGGTAAAGAGCTACCCAAGAGTGTGAAACTGCAGCACCTGCAAAGCAGATCTTGTCGTGGAGTGATTAAACCTTAAAGCTCTCCATCCACGTGGTTAGAAAAAAAATGATGAATTTCTTCAGGGTTTGTGTGTACACAAGCCCTTCAGCTGGAGGGTTCTTCCTATTAAAAAGATGTTTTTCCTTCCCACTGTTGCCAAACCACTTGCTCATAGGGCACACGTGTCAAACTCTGGCCCGCGGGCCAAATTTGGCCCGCAGCCTAATTACATTTGGCCCGC